GAAGTCTTGGCAATTACTGTACAATGCAATACTTTTTAAATGCTGCAGCACCAACTGCAGCTCCTGCTACAGCCCCCACTGCACCTCCCACTGGCCCTCCAATACGCGCTCCAACAGCAGCTCCAAAAGCAGCTCCACCACCAGCTCCTGCTGCTACATAGCCCCGAATGAATGAATTGTCTTTCTCTGCTTTTTCTCTTGCATTTTCAGGGCTCATCTCTGGATCTTCCTCCAGAAGTCTTTCCATTTCTTCTCTATTTGCTTCCTCTGCCTCTTCGAACATTTCATTGGTGTAGTAGCTTCCTCCATTTTCTGTTACCATCGCGTTGATCTTCGCCAGCAGCTCTCTGACTTGAAGTGGACTCTCTTCATTGTCAAAAACATGGTATCGTCCATGGCACTGTTCAATAAAGTCAGAGAGAGCTTCATTCTCATCGATTAAATTCTGAATTGCTTCTCTTCCTCCCATCTTCCTCAGCAGCTCTCCATGAGTGAATAAAACCATGGTGTATTTGGAAGCTTCTTCTCCAAAAAATAACTGTATCATTTTAACTGTATCCTGCTCTTCTTTTGTGAATCGCGTCACCTGGACAATAACCAGGAACACATGAGGTCCAGGAGCAGCCATGCTGATGCATTTTGCAATCTCTCTCAGTGTTTCTCTGTTTGGTTTTTTAGTACAAAACAGACCTGGAGTGTCGATTACAACCAGTTTCTGACCATCAGAACAACTTCCTTCTTTCTTCTCACACGTGGCTGTTACTGAAGACATGGAGGGCTTAGATTCAAAAAGCTCTTTCCCTAATATGGTGTTTCCTGCTCCACTCTTTCCAGTTCCAGTTTTTCCAATAAGAACCATCCTGACTTCTGGTTTCTTGGAAGCTGTTGGAGAATAATAATAATTAAAAAATGGTAAACAAAAAGAAACGTTTTGCTGATCTAGATCAAGATCACCATTTGGTTTTCGTGCATAAAAATGTTTTGTGTAAATGTGAAAATGAACCACTTTCAACATACACAGCTTCATCAAAGTGGCTTTGATTCCTACAGTCTAATCTAACATTAAAACATCTTGCAGCTCATTGTTCCAACATCTATAATCAACAGCCGCTTTGACAACTGGAGACCTAAGGAATACGACACAGGCCAAGCAAAAGTAAGCCTGTCACCCTTTACTATTATACATAACTAATATTTTACCACTCGTTGTTAACCCTTCAACCACTGGAAGG